GACCGAATTGAGGTGTGTAAGGTTATGAGGGGCTTGGAGGTGGTGGATAGGAAACAGCTGTTCCTCTCAGTTGGAGGGTAAATAACAAGGGATATAATTTTAAGGTGAGGGGCAGGAGGTTTAAAGGGGATTTGAGGAAACATTTCTTCACCCAGAGGGTGGCGGGAATTTGGAATGCACTGCCTGGGAGGGCAATTCAGGTGGGAAATGTCAAAACCTTTCAAAAGAACATGATGGGCTCTTAATGTTACTACATTCAAAGCTAGGGGCCAAGTGCTGGAAAGTGAGATTAAAGTAGATAAACTGGCACAGACTTGATAGCCTGAAGGGCTTTTTCTCTGCGAGATGACTCCATGGCTGTATTATTTCTGTTTAAAATTCTGAACAAACAAAGGATTAATCTCCTGATATAATTGACAGTAATTTCTCATTTCCTGTTTTATCTGGTAGAAATCTGCCTACATTATTTTTGTTAATTTGCAGTGAACTCTCACTATTCAAAGGGACTGCATTGTCAGAAAGTCAGCCAATGATTTTTGGGAATAGCCAACTGTGTAAACACAATATGTGCATAGTGCAGACTTTCACTCCCAACAAATTATAAACAAACAAACATTTTAGGTGCGGTGGGCTCCAAGGTACACTTTGGATTTTGTGGATAAGGGAATTCAGAAAGAGTATTTGAGTGAATGGTGGGACATTGTGGTTTTCCATGGGACGTGCACATCACAGGCAAGGCCAGTACTTGCTGCTCATCCTGAATTACCCTTGGGATTGTGTTAAAGACCCACATTCTTCAACTGCCACAGTCCATCTGACATGATTTTTCTGTAGTGTTTCAATATAATTGAGTGGCATACAAGGATATTTTAGGGGGCAATTCAAAGTAAACCACATTGCTATGGATCTGGAGTCACAGATAAGCCTGAATAAGTAACAATGTTATTTTACTTTCCCCATTAGCAAACCAGAGAGGATTTTTGGAGCAATCGATTATTGTTCATGGTCACTAATGCTAGCTTTCAAATCCTGATTTATTTAGTAATTGAATTTAAATTCTACCAGCTGCCGTGGTGGGAATGGAATCCATGTCCCTAGATCATTAGCCTGGTCCTCTTGAATACCAGTCCAGTAACGTTGCCGTTATGCCACCATAATCCCTGTATGTTGTGTGCAAATTTCAGTCATAATACCAAACATATTACTTTGTAAATTCCCACATCCTACTCCAAAATTGTTCTTTTTGACATTGGTCTCTATGATTATGGTTCTCTATTTGTGCATCCACCTGGTGACTTGACCATGTAAGTTTTTAAGTTTTTTTTAAAATTTAAATATTCTTGCTGCTTTGCAACTGATATCAACAGTCTCATTTGTGCTCTTGAATGTTAAGAGCTGTACAAAATACAAATACAGTATTGCACTGCAAATAGTAAAACCTCTTATTGTCAATTGCTTGATTTTTCTTGTTGTACAGATGATTTATTGGTTTTAAATTGAGTTAATTAGACAAGTCAATACACAGTTTCAATAAAGTACTTCAAATAAGATACAAAGTATCGCAAGCCAGCAGCATTTCGAACTATTCAGTGAAAATTAAACATAATACTGTTTCTGTTAAGTCGCCACCTGCTCAATAGACATTTGCAAAAACTTTCAGTAACATAGAAACACCTCTATCTAAATGAAAATATTTGGATTCAGAACTGTTCCGCAGTTCTTCGAGCTTTTACACTGGGGCGACACAGTGCCTCAGTGGTTAGCACTGCTGCCTCTCAGCGCCGGGGACCTGGGTTTAATTCCAGCCTTGGACGACTGTCTGTGTAAAGTTTGCACATTATCTGCATGTTCAAGCTTCGTCCTACGGTTCAAAGATGTGCAGGTTAGGTGGATTGGCCATGCCAAATTGCCCATATTTTCCAGGGATATGTGGGTTAGATGGTTTAGCCATGAGCAATGTAGGGTTACAGGGTAGGGTGGTGAGTCGGTGTGGACCTGTTGGGCTGAATGGCCTGTTTCCACACAGTATGGATTCTATGAATCTAACGTGTGATTAATGGAAAAGGTATTCCAATGTATTATGGCAAACATTTCCAATGAAGATTACTGTGCATCAATTTAATCACTATAATTTCAGAACAAATAAATCTTATGAATTTATTCTAATCTTATTATTCATAATGCATTAAGGTACCAAGTAATGAATGGGAATAAAATCAATACATATTTATCAATGGTACCAAAATAAGCATTTTATAGGATGCAATGCTGAGAGGGAAATAGTCTACATCTATGTAATACTTTATACTAATTTGACTACAATTTTCTTCAAAATAAGCCGCTAGATGGCTTGTGCTCAAATTTATCTCCGACAAATAAACACCTTTTGGATGTCATGTTACGTTAAATGTGCGGTATACATATAAGTTGCTGTTGCATGTAATATGCATTTGAAGCCATCTTGATACACTTTCTCATCACTGAGAAACTCTATCATCAAACTGTTCATAATTTGGCTCAAATTGAGTATTAAGACGACAATATGGAAAGTTGAATAAAATTTAAATATACTTTTATGGAAGAGATTCTATAAAATAAATTTGCATCTCCTTATTAGAACATAAGCATGGAGTTAAAAAGTGGATATTATTTTGTCTTCCATATATCATGTACAGTCTAATATATCACGGGCTGTATTGAACCACTTCTCACTCACAATGCAAGGTTGTGTACAAAAAAAAAATTTCTCTTTGACAGTTCAGAAATCTGACCTATCTACTATGGTAGGCCTTGATGTTTTCTGATATTAAAACTTTGGAATTACGCAGTGTATAGTCTGCTTCAATTTATTTACTACAACAAAATACACATTGATCCTAGAGTGAAATGTAATGACTACCCTGTGACAATGCTTTGATGCTATCTATAAATGCTTTAGGAAGATGTCCTGCAGGGAAACCCTCCTGTGAGGCTGTGGGGATAGTCTGCTTGTTTTCTTCTGAAAATAATCAATGAAAGTTTCTGTCCAAATGCATGTATATCCTTTGAGATCTGGAAATCATTAATTTCATTCAACAGCTTTAATTTATAGACAATTTATAAATAATTAATCTTTGGATTCTGAGATCTGAGAATCAGCAGATCTGTACTTATGGTACAGCCGCTGGGCCAAGTTTAATGTTAGTGGTAGGATTACTAAGCTATGACATCCTAATAATTTGCAACTGAGACTTGAGTTTTCTTTTGTAGTTACATAAAATTTGCCTCATAGATTTTCTTGCTAATGATTAATTTTTTGCCATTAATAAACGTGAAAATGTTGTAGACTAAGGTCATTTTTATTCTCTTATAGGATAAGGGTATTGCTGGCTGGGCCAGCATTTATTGTCCATTGCTAATTGTTGAGAGTCAACCACATTGCTGTGGATTTTCAGTCACATGTAGGACAGACCAGGTAAGGAAGGTAGATTTCCTTCCCTAAAGGACATTACTGAACCAGATGAGTTTTTATGACAGTTAACAATGGTTACAATGATCACCAATGATTGGACTAGCTTTTGATTTAATTCCAGGTTTTTGTTCAATTCACATTTCATGATCTGCCATAGAAGCAAAATACTGCAAATGCTGGAAATCTCAAATGCTGGCGAAATGCAACAGCTTAGGCAGTATCTGTGAAGAGACAAACAACTAACATTTCAAGTCCAGTATGACTTAGTTCTTAGAGTCATACCAGATTTGAAACATTACCTCGCTTTTTCTCTGCACAGATGTTGCCAGACCTGCTGAATTTCTCTACATTCTCTGTGCTTGTTTCACCATCTGCTGTGGTGGAATTCAAACCCACAGCCCCTAGAATATTTTTCTGACCCCTGGATTATTAGTCCAGTGACTATCATTACACCACCATCTTCCCTTAAGGTCTGTCAGTTTTCATTCTTTCATTACCCCAGGATCAGAGAAATACTTATGATATTTCACACTAGAACCAAACTGTATCAGGGCTATATAAATGCTTTTGACATTCACATTACATGACTGTGATTAATCAGATATTTACTAACAATAATAAGTTAATGACTTTTTTTACTCACTGCTTTCAAGGATATTACACTATGGAATTAACAAGAACTGCTTTGACAAATAACATGTATTGGTGGATAGTAACTATTTCCTTTTCATGAACATGGTTTTGTGTAGCTATCATACTTTCAGTTAATGGATTTTTATAATTTTCACTTTCTAGGTTTGTTTTCTTGTCCAAACGTAAATGCAAATAAACCAAAGTTTCCTACCATTCGGCATGCTAGGATCAGAAAATCATCGAACTTTGTTTTCCCACCACCAACCTTTGGCCCTGGTTACATCAGTCTCTTATCTTTTCAGGCTCAATCTAAACATGTGCAGCCCCTTTTGATGCCAAGCTAAGTTTCAAATGTCCAATTCAGCCCTCTCCTATCACAGAATAGAATCATAATGGTTGAGGAATAAGGTGATTGGCCTATTGATATCGTGCTAACTCTCCACAAGAGTACTTTAGCTATCCCTATTTCCCAAACCTTTAACAATAGCCCAATGTTTATCTAATTTCCTTTTAAAGACTTGGATTGAATCCATCTTCACCAACTCCTCAGTGATTGAAAAAAGATGAAAATTTCCAATAAATCTAAATTCAAGTTTATTTTTTCTCATAATTAAACTCCCTACGTTCTGGAATCACCTGCTTGATTTTCTCTGAAGCATTATCAAATGCATCCATTGATTTAGAAGATATAGAATTGTTCATTGACCACAAATAATAGATCATTCATTGTCAAAGGTCAGAAAAAAACTCGCTCGCGTTTCTACATGAGGCTGCTTAGTGGCCAGCAAATGAATGGAAATTAATCACTTAATTGAAGCAGCCAAGACTTGCTGAACAGGGTAGTGCCAACATATTGTTATATCTATAGATGAAAGCAAAATTATTTGAGAACATAAATTCATTACATGCTACTTACACTTTTAAATTCCAGTGCCAGTTATTTCATCTGCCCCAGGAAGGAAAAGGCACAAGAAACAATTGATTGACTGTTAATTAATTTCAGCTTTTAGGCAAACTCCTGGAATCTCTCAAGTTCTGATGTTGAAGGCTCAAATTCTCTTTTATAGCTACACCTGTAAGGGGCTGCTGTGAAACTAGAGCACTGCTGATATAATATCACTGCGTTGCTTCCTTCCTCTTCCAGCACTGCAAATGAGCTTGCACAAATATATTTCAGAGATAAAGATTGTTCCAAAGTGCCACTAGTCTGCTATAATTTGATTTCTTCATCATACTATTTTGGTGCATTAATGTAGCCAGTGAACGTGCTTTTCAAAGCAGGAAAAGCATCATTAATGAACAGAAACTGCAAAATAGCATACACATTGGTTATGATGTTAATCATTTATTTGCAATAGAAATCTGCCATCTGCACCAAGGTTTTCCTCTAAAGTATGTCACATGCATATTATCTCGGATAACTGCAATTTAATTTTCGCACCTGGTCTCATTTTTTCCATCACTGCATGATTCAAACTGTTTTACACATTGCTGAAAACATCAATAGACTTTGGAAACCCGCCTTTATTCTGATTTTTGAACGGCTAGAATCGTGAGCTAGTATGCAGTTTAAATAGACATCATTGCGGGGCAACACTTAGATGGAACCAAATGTTGAGTTTGAATCAGGTGCAACGGCTCTTGCCAGAATATGTGTTTCACTCAATTAGTTATTTTTCAGATGATTTCTGCTTCATTTTTGTTAATTATTCGAAAATCATTAGCATTCTTGTACTAGCATATTAATGTCGTGAGGTATCCAATCACCTATTTTTATTCTCTTATCAGATAAGTTATTTTGCAATGTAATGTGACTTCCTTTACAAAAGCAGATTACAATGGGCTGATATGATAGTTGTAATGAAATAAAATTATTTGGATTGGATGATACAAAGTCCAAGAGCTGTTTATAACTGGTTCGCGTTAAATGAATATCATTTTACTTGCTCTGAACAAAAGTGTTTATCTTTTTCAACATCTGCAATTTTTTACTCACTGAAGCATTTCACACTGTCATGTAAATAAAACTCTTCAGTGTCTTGAATTTATATTCCACAAAGTTAAATTTTAGTCAGCATTTATTTAATTCAAAATTGAGCAATATGGAGCTGAAAGTTGTAATAGTTGTATTAATTCAGCCTTCAAGCAACCAATGGAGTATGAAAGGTCAGAAGAGAATGGAACTGATAAGGAGTGATTAGGATATAACTATTGACATTTTCATTCATATATTTTACTGTTGGGAGCTGTTTATTTTCTACCTTTAAATATGAAAGGGCTTGAAGTAGCAGTGGGTGATTAATTGCTTAAAAAGTGCAATTAGCTGTTCTGTTTCCAGCTTTGACCTTTACCGCTGGGCTCTTTCATAATTCAGTATAAATTTGAGTCAAGAATTAAGAACTCAGTCTTACTGTGACATACCAATGAAGTGTGAAAGGCTAGGTCAGTATGACTAGTTGATGCAGATAGTGCATTAGATATAGTTTTCAATGAGTTTTGCCAAGTTTTTGAAAAGGTTCCGCATAGAAGACTGATCATTTACTTGAAATCACAAAGTTTCCAAGGGAAAGTGGCATGTTGGATCAAATATTGACAAGTGTTGACAGATGTTTTTGTGACTGGATTCCTGTTTTCAGTAATGTTGTGCAGGTCTCAGTATTCAGTCCCTGCTGTTCATTGTGTATATCAAATATTCAGACATAAAATAGAACGGCCTAAATTAAGTAGATGATGCAAAAATGGTGTGCGTTGGTAGTGAAAAAGAAAACTGTAGGTTTGCACCAAACTAGCAAAAGACTTGGTCAGGTGGCTCAAAAAAGTGGCAAATAGAATTCAATTCAGAGAAGTATGAGGTGATATATTGGAGAAAAACAGTCAGTGTAATACACAAGGAATAGTAGGATTCTGAAAATTATTCAGAACCATAAAATGTGCATCCACAGATCCCTAGAAGCAAGACATTGGTGAGATAGTCCAGAAGGCATTACTGGCCATGGCCAACAATATACAAGCAGGGAAACTGTTCTTCTATAACTGTATAAAAGAAGCACACAGTGTAGCGATTGGGACAAAGGCCAGGTGGATCACATTGACTTTGAGATCCTTGATTGAGGCTGTTAACCTGGGTCAATCAGGGAGCCCTGGCTGACAGAATCTGAGAGTCTCCTCATTCTAGGGACTGGCTCTGAGCTGGCTGGTCAAAGCCCATGTACCCTGCACATGAACGTAAAGGGGGACTTGATGACAAGATACCAGTCTCTGTGCAGTGATTCCAACAGCTACAAGTAACATATAATGAATGGGTTGGGCATTACAGGAACAAAGTGATCACATTAGAGAGAGTACAGAGGTGATTCACAATGATACTTCCATCCGTGGAAAATTTTAACTGTGTGGCCAAGTGCACAGACTATGGTTTATTGGGAACAGAGGAAGCCAATAGAGGATTTATTATAAAACTAACAGGAAGCTAATCATGGCACTGATCAGCAAGCGTATTGTTGTTCCTTCAACATCAAAGTTTCTTTAGGATCAAAATCCGAGAACTCCCTTCCCAGCAGCACAAGTGATGTGCCTACACTGGGTGGTTTCAGAAGATAGCGCATCACCATCTTGCAAAGGGAATCTGGGGACGAACAGCGAGTCCTGGCCATATTCCATGAAGAGATTAAAATAAAGTTAAAATGGAGATGAAGGACCTATTTTCATTAGCAGAGGGATCAATAACCAGAGGACATATACTGAAGCCTTTGGTGGAAGGATCAAGTTGAGGAGCTATGCAGAGAACATACTATTTTAGATTGAATATTATCTAAAGAAAAAAGGCTAATTAATAATTTTGCTGTGAAAGAACCTTTAAGGATGATTGAGCACAATATGACAGAATTTTGCATTCTGTTTGAAAAGGGGGTAGATCATTCTGAAGTATGTTGGCACAAATTGGCTGAGGTAGGTTGGAAAAATATATTAAATGACATCACTCTACATAGGCGATGGATAGTCTTTGAAAAACTATTAAAGGCTTACAGCAACTGTACATTTCTTCAAGGTGCAGAAACTCAAAAAAAGTTGGTCAGCTGTGGCTAACAAAGGAAGTTCATAATTGCCTATTTATTTTAATTTTGTACAATGAGCAAAAAAAAGCAATAATATGGGGAGATTTTTGGATTATAACAAAGGAAGATTAATAAACCATTATGGAGAATAGGGTAGGAATGCAATCTGGCAACAAACATAAAAATAAACTCTAAAAGCTTCTATATGTCCATAAAAAGGAAACATTTGGCAAAATTATAAATGTGGGTCATTACAGGCTGAGACAGTTAGTGGGGAACAGATAAATGGCAGAAAAGCTAAATGATTCCTAGTGCCCCTTTTCTTTGAAGAAGATAACAGAAATCTTCTACAGATAAAGATCCAAGTGCTGGCTAAAATGAGGAGTTAAAGGAAATTAATATCACAATGGGGCTGAAAGTTGATATATCTCCAGGACCTGATGGTCTACATCCCAGACTGTTAAAGGAAGTGGCTATAGAGACGATTAACGCATTGGTAAATATCTTCCAAAATTCTATATCTGAAACAATACCAGCAGTTTGGAAGGTAGCAAATTTCACTCCCTATTTAGTAAAGGAGTAAGAGAAAATACAGGGAAGGACAGACCCGGTAGTCTTACATCAGTCATTGGGAAAATGCTAGAATGTATTATAAAGGATGGAATAAATAAATACCTGGTTAACAATGACTTGATTTGGAATAGTCAGTATGACTTGTGACTAGGAAATCATGTTTTGATGAACTTGTTGGAGCTTTTGGAGGTGGTACTAACAAAATTGATATAGGGTATTTGATGGATATGATATACTTACATTTTCAGAATGATTTTGATAAAGTCCACCACAGGAGGCTGGTTAGAAAAATTAAAGCACATGGTACAAGAGGTAATGTACAGGCATGGATTAATGATTTGCCAACAGACAGAAAACACAAAGTAGGAAGTAATTGGTGATTCTTATGTTGGCAAGCTTTGTGGATTGAGACACTACAATGATCGATATTTTGACCCAGAAGTTCACAATATTTATCAATGATTTTGATGTGGGATCCAATTGCCTTTGTCAGACTTTGTGTGGAAATTGATCAATGGAATGTGCAGGTAATTTAATGGTGGTAGATAATTGATGAAAAGTACAGCGAAAAACTGCAATTGTGCATGAAAGCACATCTGAATATAAAACAAAAATAGATAAGGGGACCAAATATAGTATTTCCAAAATTTCAGGTTATACTAAACTAAGTCACAACGTCTGTTGTGATGAAGATATAAAGTAGCTTCAGGAGGATGTGGGCAGAGTTAAGTGGGCTAGAACATGGCAGATGGAATATAATGTGGTAAATGTGAGGTTGTCCACTTTGGTAGGAGAAACATTATGATGGACCCGAATGAATGCAATGATAAATTTTAAGGTTTTATGGGTTGTGTTGGGAAGGCTTCAGAGCACAACAGGAACTCCTGTTCTTTACAGAATGTGTTGGTCACTCAGCTGATGCAGAACCTTCATCAAATTTGTGCACATGCTGAGGCTGAAGTTGGATGAAAGATGGAGACATGGCCCTCGTTATCAGGGTGCTGTGGGTCTCACTGTGTGGACGAGTGTGTGCAGCTTGCATCTACAGGATATGCTATCACTGACTGTTCTCAGAGGTAAGAACATCTTTTATGCCTTATGTTATCTCCCTAAGTCATAGCAAGTGTCCTGTACCTTGCTGCAGGTGGAATGTTGGTTGCTGTGGCTGCCTTCCTAAGAAAGTGCCCTGACTCTATTTCTTGGGGATGGGCAAGGCACAGCGTCGATGTACGTCCCAGGGCACTGTGATGGAACTGTGTCAGATGTTGGAGCAGGACCTGAGGGTTGCAGGAGTAGGAGGCCATTGGCTCCTCCTAGTGACTGTGAAGACGAAAGCTGCTTTAACCTTTTATGTAATTG